CGCTCCCGACCTTTGGGAGGCCGCTGCTTCCTCGGCGACCTACAAAGGGTGCTGCTGCGCCGGGGTATGGTCTGCGATCTGCGCCGTTGGGGCCCGGGGGGCCCCACGTTGCCCTTCGTTGGGCCTCCTCGGGGCTGCGGCGGAGAACTCTGTCGAGGTCCTCGCCCGCACCCCCCCCCCGCCAGGGGGCGGGTTGCAAGCCACGCCCTTTGCAATCCACACCCTTCGGAGCCGCCGACCTGGGCTCCCGCGGCCCCCCGCGGCCCCCCGCTGGCGACGGCGAGGGGCGCGGGCGGCAACGGCGACCGCCACCCCTTCGGTTCGGGGGAGCGTCGCTGCGGGAGGCTCTGAAGGCCTCTGAAGGCCTCTGTGCCCGGGGACCGCCAAAAGACGACCCAAGGGCCCAAGGGCAAAAGGGCGGTGCCGGGGAAGGGGCTGGGATCTCTAGGGGTCCACGTCGCGAAAACATTACGGAGTCGGGGGCGCCGGCGACGGCGACGGCGACGACGGGGACGACGGGGACGAAAACGGCGACCGCGACGGCCGTGACGGCCGTGACGGCCCTCGGCTGGGCTTGCGCCGCCCCTGGCCGTCCGCCCCCGCCTGGCCTTCGCCATCCGCGCCGTCTTTTCCTTTCATCTGTTCCCTCGGCCGAGGGGCAGAAGACAGCTTCCGCAGAGGTCCGCGCATACTCTCTATGGGCCCGGCGCTGGGCGCCCAGCGCCGACCCAGTAAACCCGCGCGGTCCCCCGAACGCCCACTTTCATGGTATGGCTTTCGGCAGCCAAGCCCCCAGGAAGGGGGGGGACGTGAGGGAGGGCGGGCCTCTTCAGAGGGCCAGAGGGCTTCTCAGAAGCCGCGCCGCCCTTCGAGGAGGCCTTCTCCGTCTCGCTTTCCCCCCCCCCTCGCTCGCCGCTCGGTCTTGTCCTAGGGGAACAAAAAGTGGCATAAACATAACAACTCGGAGGTCCGCGCGGATTTCTCGGATCGGCGCCGCGCGCCAGGGGGGGGTCCAGCGCCGATCCGAGAAATCCGCGCGGACCTCCGAGTTGTTATGTTTATGCCACTTCTTGTTCCCCTACAGTGGAGACCCCTGCCAAGAGACACCCTGCCTGCCTCCAGGGAGCCCTGGGTTTCCTGGGTCTCGAGGGTTCTGCGGTGGAGAGCGCGACGCCTCCCGACCAGGAGCCACTAGACGCCCTGGGGTCTCCGGGTTGGGTTTCTTGTGGGAGGTTTCTTGCGGGCTGGCTTCCACTGTTCAGCAGGGAAAAATCACACAGACAAAATGAAGCGTCGATCCCCAGGAACATGTAGGAAAATATGGGAAGTGGGGGGAAGACAAACACCGAGAAGAAACATGAAAATATGGGGAATCCTGATATTTGTGTGTATTTATTTGAGTTGATGGCGTACCTTTTCCTGTTCAAGATCTTCGGCACCGCCTGTACTCCGCACCCTCCGGCCGCCTGAGGCCCCGCCCGCCCGCGCCCTGTCTCCCCAATTAGTGCTTCGCGTGCCCCGCCTAGCTCTTAACCGGAAGGGGCCCGCTCCCGACCCGCCGACCAAAAAAGTGTGTATCTATTTTCGTGTCCCAGGGCCACTTCACCATCGTTTTCCTCGAGTAGGTTGGGCTGGGGGCGCGGCCTCTCGTCGCCACGGCTGCGTGCTGCACAGGCTGGAGGGACTGGCCGTAAGTCGGGCGTGTCCGCCCACAGGAGGGGGATTTTCGACGAAAAATTGAACATACACCAAACAAAATTCTAAAATATGAAGATAAAAACCATAGTCCGAAAATAGTTTGGGGACTATGTTTTGAGTACTTGTGTTACCTTTTTGGGATCTGTTTGATGTATCTCTTGTTTTTCGTCGAAAATCCCCCTGTAGGGGGACACGTCCGACTTGAGACTGGCCGGGACGGGCTCCAGGAGGAGGGGGAAACATCATGTCGGGTGTTGCTAGAAGTACCCCTGGCCCAAGGTACCCCCAGGATTCTCGAGGAGACTCGGGGTGGCCCAGACGGCCTCAAGGGCACCCCTCACGAGGCCCAGAGGGCCCCAGGAGCTCCAAAATGGAGCGAAAAGCCGGGGGCACCTTGGGCCAGGGGTGCTTCCAGCAACACCCGATCATTTTCAGGGGCAACGATAGGCGGGGATAGGCATAGGGGGGGATGCATCGACCCCCACTCGCCCATTCATCGCCGATGTGAGCCCGACAGCCCCAACTTGCTCAGGAACGTGCGGATTCACCATCGGGGGCCTATTGCCGATCTATCGGCGATGTATCACTGATTCAAGGTCGATGCTTCCCCCCCTATGCCTATCCCCCCCTATCGTTGCCCCTCAATCATTGCGACACCATGAGATGGGAAGGTTGTTTTTTCTTCTGCTAGCCTTACTCGACGATGGGGCCGCTAGCCTTCCTCGACGATGGGGTCGTCAGGAGCGGTCGTTCGCACTCCTCCCCTCCGCCCGCCGGCCCCCCCCCGCCACGCTCCTGTGTGTAGCGTTGCTGCTTTGTGGAGGCAGGCCCGTCTGCCAATTTTGATGAGATTCTCGACGGAATTCTGAGGTCAGCACTCTGGCGGGGGGGGGGCACGTCGTGTCCGCCCACCGCCCCCCCCCCCCGGGGGCCCCACGCCCGGGGGGGCAGGGGACCGCTTCTCTCCCCGCCTGTCCTTCTCCTTGCTGCTGCTGCTGCCTCTTCCCTCCTCCCCTCCTCCTCCCCCGTCTCGTCGCTAGGCGGTCCTGAGGCCCCCCCGCGGGGGGGTGGCGTCCGAAGCAGTGGCCTCCGAACCCACGCGAGGGAGCCTGGCCGGTAGGGCACTGGAGGCCGTAATGCCGACGACTCTCGACAGGAGCGCCCAATATTCCTCCTCCCCCCTTTCCTTCCGGGACGCGGGGCGCCACTTGGCCAGTCCAGGCCAGCATGCTTGTGGTTGTTCCGACCGCGTGGCCGATTGCTCGTGGGAGGGCGCTTGCCCTCGACTCGGCCCCTGAGGGTGGACGCCGGCGTGTCGCCCTATCCGGGGGATGCCAGCCCGTCGATGTTTTCAGGGCTGATTTGACCACACTCGCAATTCACAGTTTTATGCGGAGCGATTATCCTCCCCTCCGTCCTCCCATCTCTCTCCTCCCTCCCTCTCCCCCACTTCCTCTTCAATTGGCAGCTCATGCCTCTGCCTGCATGGGATTGGCGTGCTGGTGGCTGGCAGCCGCTGCCGGCCGACCCTGAGCTGCATGTTTCAGCTCTGGCTCGCCCTCCAGCCGCTGCTGAGCAGCGTGCGCCGAGCTGGGCTTTAGTACCCGCCTATCTCATGATGTCTATGTTGGCGAGTGCTTGCACCCAACTTCTAGCTTTCCTTGTTGTTGCCCTTCCTCGTGCTCTTTGGTATCATTCTCCCCCTCTCGCCCTCCCACTGCTTGCGTTGGGCACCAATGCGAGTCCCGCTGGCTGGAGCTAGCTGGTTACGCACGCGCGAGTTTCACTGTTCTTCCCCCTTGGAGCTGCTTCCTGCGGGCGTCAGACTTGGTTATATCGGCCACCCTCGCAGGACAGGCTGCTCGCATGTCGCCCGGCTGTTTGCAATGCCTTGCATTGCCCGGCATGTGGTCAGCGTCTTATTCGTTCTCCTCTTCCTCCTCTTCCTCCTCCTTCTTCTTCCTCCTCCTCCTCCTCCTTCCTCCTCCTTCTTCCCCGGCCAGCCACTTTCGAGCTCTGCCGCTATAGTGCTACAGAGCGGTGCGAGCCCATGTCCGCGCGTTTTGCGTGGGGGCGGCTGCGGTTCGTTGACGGTGCGGCTGTAGCCCCCATGAAGGGAAGCGGATTCGACAGAAGTTGTTGGGTGTTTGTGTGCGGGAGAAAAGTAAGAGTAGGAGCAGGACAAGGATGCTAAATATTAGGAGCAGGAACAGGGATAGTGGGATGATGATGATGATGATGAGGAGGAGGAGGAGGAGGACGTGGAAGAGGAGGAGACCCGCAGTTAGATCTCAAAAGGGCGAGAAGGAGAATGTCCAGGTGGCAGACGAGGAGGTGGACCAGGAGGTGCGAATAACCGCTCGGATTCGAAGCACCGTGTCAGATTGGTGGAAATCATCTCCACCTATGGTCTCACATGGTGTTATGTCCCTTCGTCCTCGCTTCCCTTCGTCCTCGCGTCCCTCACGCTCTTGGGTGTCTTGTTTCCCTCGTCCTCTCCCTTTTGCTTGCTGCTGCTGCTGCTCCTCCTCCCCTTCTCCCGCCCTTCTCGACAGGCACCAGCGCCAACGCTTACGCTGGGGTTTCGAACTGCTCCCCCTATTTACTATGGCCTTGCACACAGCTGCCTGGCGATGCCCATGTGTGCCAGGTCGGTATTCATTTCTGGCCAGCATTGGCAATGATCTCAGACATGCTTCAAGGTGGTGCTGTGTCTTAGTGATGTCCGATCCGTCCCCTCCCCCCCCAAAACAAAACATAGGAGCGCGAAGGTAGGGCTGCGCATAGACAGCGCGCGGACGTAGTCCCAGCCTGCCTCAACAGGCCCACGGGAGCCCAGGACGGTCTCAATACTTTCGTGCCGACTCCAGCGGCATCTTCAGGGCCCCCAGCCTGGGGGGGGAGAAGCAGTCCTTGGCTACCCCGAGGGCCCGTTGAGTTCAGTCGGGGCCACACCCAGGGACTGCTTGCATGGAACGCATAGTTTACAAGTTTACCCACGCCTTGCAAGAGAACAGAGGGAGACGCGGATGATGCGGGATGGGCGAGGATAGAGTGTTACACCTGGACACGATTGTATTCACATCGTTTTCCTGGCATCTGCAAATCTGTTACGTGTCCTTCTCTCCCCGCATGATGCCAGGCGCAGGGCTTCTTTTCAACATGTATGACACCCCCCCCATTGCGTTCATGCGTGCGTATGTCATCCAAATGGGTAATGCTTCGAAGTGCAGTGCGCTAGCACATGTTGGTTTGGCCTGAAGCGTGTCCTGAAGGCCTGGCTGCGGTGGCCTCCTCCTGCGTCCTTGTCGTCTGTCTGCTCACTTCCTGCATCCGGTTCCCCTCCATGCAGCTGCAGCACCCCCGCGACTGTCGCTGCTCAAGCCGGACTCGCGCAGTCCTGCCACGCGCATTACATCCTCAGCCGTGAGCAAGAGGGTCAGGGTTTAGGGGGTCAGCATTCTGAGACCGACCCCACCCCAACACAGCGGCTGGTGTGTCCTATGCATCGAATGGTGCCTGAGAGGGGTGCCCCCCCCCCCTCTCGCAGACCTCGCTGCCTTCCCAGATCTCCGACGTCGCGTTTTGTGCCACGGCGTGGGCCTCGGAGCTCTTGACCCTCGGCCCTATCATCAGAGCGCTTTCTAAGCGGACGGTGGAAGTATCCGCGGCGAAGAGCAGGTTCCCAGGTGCAGGAGAAGAGTTGTGGTGGCCCTGGGGCTCGAAACCGGCTTCCACAGTCCCGCACTTTGGGAAAACAGGCCGTCGTCCTTTTCCCCGCGACGCTTGGAGATTTAGGTGGGCACGTCCTCTATCGCTCAATCCAACCCCCAAACCCTCCCAGCCACAATCCCGACAAGGTTTCCGGGCTACGTCCAGCCATGGCCACGAGAGCTTTCGTAGAGGTTGAAATAGCACAACACCGAAACAAACAGTAACGTCACAAAGTTGAACGCTGGACTCTGACCCTTTTGCTCCCTGCCAACATCCGCTACCGATCTTCGCACGCACCCGCTCCGAGGCCCCAGGGGCTAGAAGGAGTACGAGCGACGCACTACCTTTCACACGGCAGCCGAAATAATGTGCTAATACGGAGGAGATGGAGGATGATGGAAGAGGAGGAGGAAGAGGAGTAGGAGGAGGAGGAGGAGGAGGAGCGAGGGGGCAGGAGGATGTCGTCGAATGATGTTTTGGGTCGAACCCGTGCTCATTGGAACACAAAATGCTATGAAAGAGACGGGGGCTGGCGGCGCTGCAAAAATATTTCCGCGGCGAGAGCATCTCATCATCATCATCATCATCATCATCATCATCATCATCATCATCACCACCACCAGCATCATCATCATCATCATCATCATCATCATCATCACCACCACCATCATCATCATCACCACCACCATCATCATCATCATCATAATCATCATCATCATCATCATCATCATCATCATCATCATCCTCATCATCATCATCATCATCATCATCATCATCATCATGATAATCCCCATCATCATCAGCAGCAGCATCTTCATCATCGCCAGGTGTCAAAGCAATGGCACCCAGTGAGAGTCACCGAGAGGAGCGCTGCCACTCTGAGAGGCGAGGGAGGCCCGAGGGCCCGGAAGGGCTGGCGCTACTCCAATGTCAGGGGGAAGAGAGGCAGGGGCGCGGGGGGCGACGCCAGAGCGGAGCACGCGAACACTTCAGGCGACCGCAAACACGGATCCGGGGGGCGTGGATTGGCGACGGGCCCCGCTTCCATGGGAAATCGCGGATTTCCGCCGCCGAACGCGGCGGCGCCGGCCGCATTTTGCGGAGGGCACCTCCCCAGATCCATGGATTCGGCGACCGCGCGCCAAATCCGCCCATCGATCGCGAATCCGCGCCCCGGAGAAGAGTGCACCGCTGCAGGAGCGGCCGAACGAGAGCTCGATCTCGAGAGGCGAAGCGCCAAAAGGCAGCAGACGTGCGCAGCGCCCTGCGAGGCAACGATGTGCGCCCTGGGAGCAGAGACCCGAAGTGGTCAGGCGGCAGAGCTGGACCGGGGCACAGGGGCGGCCCACGACGAGGGAGCCTGGGCCTACGAACAACACAGTCGCCATAGCGCACCCAGTGCACACCATTGGGCACAGCACCCGCAGGCAGGTGCAGAAGGAAGGGGGCAGGCGTGGGAAGGAGAAGGGTTACCAACATGGCGCCGACCCAGGTCGCCTCAGAACCTGCCGTAGCTCAGGGACCGCGCCTCGATGCTGCCCTACCAGTACCTCGCTGGTGTCGTACCTTCCCATGGTCGTGGACACATGCGCGTACACGACGCTCGAGCGCACGTCGAACTCCTTCACTGCCGCTGGCAGAAACGCTGATACCACCAGATCAAGAAGCGCCGTGATTGTGTTGAAGACGCCCAAGGGCTTGGACACATACGCGTAGACGAAGGCGTGCGTGACGGAATCGTGAACGGCCGACGGCAGGAACGCTGGAACCATCGGGTCACACAGAGCCGTGACAGTGGTGTACATGCCCATGATCGCTGACACGCACCTGCAGACCCCAGCGGTCAGCTTGGGCAGGTTGGCACGCATAAGGCTGCAGCGTAAAGAAGGGCCGAGTCCACGAATGAAATGGCGGGCCGATCGCGATCACGGAGCCTTGAACCAAGATGGCTACGGAGAGAGGGGGAGGAGAGGGAAGGAGGGAGGAGGGAGGAGGGAGGAGGAGGAGGCGGAGGGAGGAGGAGGAGGAGGAGGAGGCGGCGGAGGAGGCGGAGGAGGCGGAGAAGGAGGAGGAGGGGGGGAGGACAAGCTAGGTGCGCTCGCGTCATATCTGACGTCCTACCCTACCCTCCCATCCCTCACTGTGGTGCAGATCTCTTCTCTATTCGCACGATCGGATGTTGCAGCATGGCGTAGCATTACATGGCATAGCATGGTGCTGAAGATGAACGCGTAGCATGACATAGCATGGCGTGGCGACGCCCCACAATAAGGGTGGGGCTTATGCGGCCCAACAAATCAACGAATCGACACCGAATGTGGAATCAGTTCCGATGGTTTCTTCGGAAAGCCACGTTTTTGATGTTGGTGCCTATTTGGAAGGACCGAACACCATGCCGTGGCATGGCACTGGAAATGATAACGCCAGCGCTGCAGCGGAGCGGCAGCACGATTTGGAACGAGCGGAGGCGCGGAAATGAGGCCAGCGCTGCAGCGGGAGCACGTTTCGAAACGAGCGGTAGCCCGAAAATGAGGCCAGCACTTCTGCGAGGGTAGCATTTTGAAAACAACCAAGCGCGGAAGCGCGGAAATGAGGACGCATATCCTGACATAGCATGGCGTGGCGACGCCCCAAAGTGGTAGGGGCTTCTGCGGCGCAACTAATCAACGAGTCGACACCGAAGGTGGAATCACTTCCGATGGTTTTTTCCAGGGAGGCATTTTCGAGATTAGCGGGCCATTTGGGAGGACCGAGAACCATACCGTGGCATAGCGCTGGAAATAAAGACGCCAACGTTGCAGCGGGAGCACGATTTGGAACGAGCGGAAGCGCGAAAATGAGACCAGCGCTGCAGCGGGAGCACGTTTCGGAACGAGCGGTAGCCCGAAAATGAGGCCAGCGCTTCAGCGAGAGCAGCCTTTAGAAAGAAAACCCAAGCGCGGAAGCGCGGAAATGAGGACGCGTAGCCTGACATAGTATGGCGTGGCGACGCCCCAAGGTTGGGGGGGGGCTTCTGCGGCGCAAAAAATCAACGAATCGACACTGGATGTGTAATACCTTCCGATGATTTTTTTTCCGGGGGGCATTTTTTTGTGGTGCCTTTTTGGAAGGATCGAAAACCATGCCGTGGCACGGCGCTGGAAATAATGACGCCAGCGCTGCAGCGGGAGCACGATTTGGAACGAACGGAAGCGCGGAAATGAGGCCAGCGCTGCAGCGGGAGCACGATTCGGAACGAGTGGTAGCCCGAAAGTGAGGCCAGCGCTTCAGCGAGAGCAGATTTTCGAGAGAAAACCTAAGCGAAAACCCGTTTCTGGGAAATCCTGTGTGTAAAAAGCCAGTGCGCGGAGGGGGCCGGCAATTTCCAGGACGCCACCAGGGGAGAGAGGAGAGTAGTATTCATATTGTTTAATTGTGGAGGAGGGGGAGGAGCAGGAGGAGGAGGAGCAGGAGGAGGAGGAGGCGGAGGAGGAGGAGGTGTCATGGACAAAGTGCAGCAAAGGCAGGGAGGGTGCCGGGGCCCCCGACAGGGCACGCCCGGTAAGCTCGAGCGGCGCAGCTGCTGCCCTGCACACGTCAAGGAGCGCCCAGGCCAGAGCGCTGAAGAGGTGGACGCCCACCTGGCGCCCTTGCCCTACCCCGAAGTCCAGGAGGGACGAGATCTGGCCCACCAGCGGGCCCACGCGCACCCGCACCCTTTCCTCGCCGAGGGAGGCGGCCGCAGCTAACCACCAGCGCCCCTCGAGCCCCGCCTGGCGAAGCTGCAGCAGCACGCCATGCCTCCAAGCGACGTCGAAGCCGTGAAGCAAGTCAGTTTTTTGGACAACGGTCCGGAGCCCCAGCCTCGTCCGAGCCTGCAGCGCAATGAGCAGCCCGATCGCCATGAGCATGGCGTCATAGCGCCCGCCACCTGCTCGGAGCCGACGAACTGCTCCAGTTGAGGGCGGGTAATAGACAACCAGGAGGCATCCACGAAGCCTTCGAGGTCGTCCACAACTACTAATGGGCCGCAGGACCCCTATGTCGCTGACAATGGGAGGGCCGCGCTTGCGCATGGAGGCAATCTCCCGCATCCATGCGCTCGCGCATAGGCTGGAGCCCAGCGCCAAGTTGAGGAGCTCAAGTGACCATGCTGCCGTGCACGTGCGTGGCCTTCGCGGCCGCCCGCGGCACGTGGAGCGCCCTGCGGGAGGACTGCGCCTGGCGGACCACCTCGGCGACCAGCGCCACCGATCAGGGGCCCCCCTGCTCCTCCGCAGCCTCGCGGAGGGCGGTGGCCTGAGCCGCCTGGCCCTCCGCGCGGACCTGCGCACTGAAGGACGTCGCGCCAGGGACGGCCGCCGCGCCTCGGCTGAGGATGGACGCCGCCACCGCCTCCAGCGCGCCAGCGGGGCCCAGCCTTCGGCCAGTCCCGGGGCCCCACAGGGACAGCTGGAGAGGCGCTCGCGGCTTCCGAAGCCTGCTCAAATAAGACTCCGCCTCGCCGCGGGGCGACATCGAAAGCTCCAGATAGCCGTCCGGCGCCCGGGTCCTGCTGGCGGCGCGCGCGCCGGCCAACTCATCTTCCAGTGCGAAGTGTTCGGCGTCCAGGGAGGCGAATCCACCAGGCTGGAGCGCGGTCTCCGCCAGCTCCGCCACCTCCGTCGCGTCGCTCCCTGGTCGCCTCGAGGGACGGGCCGTGTTCGCGTGGAGTGGCCGCCTTGCTACAAGCACCAGCCCGCCGAAATACACCACGGCCCGATACCGCACGGCTCGATCCAAGAGGGCCTGTCTGGCCCCGCGCTTGGCCCCGCGGGCCGAGCTGCTTCTTCCGTCGCGCAGGCGCGTTCTCGAACTGCCTGGGGCACGCCGAGACCGCGCGCCGAATCTTGGACGCGCCCGCTGGCGCACGCTCGTGCGCAGCCGGGCGCGGGGCGAAGCAGGCCAGGGCCAAGCGCTCAAAGCGGGCTGCGCGCACGCGCCACTTTGCACGGCGCGATCCGGCGGCGCGAACGGTCGCGCATCTGTCGGTGTTTTTGGCGTTCTTTCTGGCCTTCCTGGAGCCCTCTTGGAGGCCTCTTGGGCCGTCTTGGGCCAGCTTCGAGCCAACTTCGGCCATCTTGGTGGGTTCCTGGCACGTCTGACGCCGTCGGGAGCCGTCTTGGGGGCCTCTCTGGGCCCTCTGGGGGCCCTCTTGGCGCGCTTCGTGGCCGTCTTAGAGGCCATCTTGGGCGTCTTAAAGGCCTCTTGGCCCGTCTTGGGGCCCTCTTGGGGCCGTCTTCAGGCCGTCATGGGGCCATCTTGGAGGCCTCTTGGGCGATCTTAGGGCGACCTTGGGGGCCTTTTGGGCCGTCTTGGGCAGTCGGAAAGCCGAAAAGGCGCAAATGCCAAAATCCGTCAAAAGCCTGAGGAAAATCAATGGTTTTCGCCTCTTCGGGCCTTCCTGGAGGACCTCTTCGAGGCCTATTGGGCCGTCTTGGAGGCCTCTTGGGAGCCTCTGGGGCCGTTTTGGGCCAGCTTGAGGCCATCTTGGGCCGTCTTGGGTGCATCTTGGGCCGTCTTCGAGGCATCTTGGGGCCATCTTAGCCGTCTTGGAGGCCATCTGGGCCGTCTCGGATGCATCTTGGAGATTATCTTGGGCCGTCTTGGAGCCGTCTGGAGCAGGGACAACCTTTGCAGCCAGGTTTTGAGACCCTTTCCGGGTGGCCGCCGGGACGGGCCGAAGCCCCAGGGGGAGCTCTTTTGGAAAAACCTGGCATCGCTCGGACGTGTGCATTTTTTCTCGGCGAGAACCATCGAGGAGCATCCTTGATTGTTCAGCGAAAAAACCACGCACGAAACCGAAAAAAACGCAGGGAATGGACGTCCGAGCGATGGCCAGAAAAGAGCCAAAACCAAAACCGAGAGGGTCCAGCACGCCAGGCACCCCTTCGATGAATCGACCGGGGGCGGCGGACCGGAGGGCCCTCGGCCCGTCCCGCCACCGGAGTGCAGGTGTTTGGGTCAAGGTCCTCAGGGGTTCTTCTTGGGGTTCGGAGCGCTCCTGGGGGCCTGTGGGATGGGGGGGGAGCAGGGGGTAAGCAGACTCTTCCCTTACCATTTTGCTGTTTTCCTCGCCCCCCGAAAGGTCGAGGCCCATTCCATCAGCTAGACCTCGACGAGAGCTTCATGACGGCGGCGCCAATGCGCCGATCGGCCTTCTGTGGGCCACGTTCAGGCTCCGGAGCCGAGTCGACAGAATGGTAAGGGATGCGAACCATCACGGGGAGGGGAGTTTGGGGGGCCGTTCGGGAGTTTCTCGCGGGCCTCTTTGGGGCCTCTCGGGGGCCTCTTGGGGCCTCTTGGGGCCTCTTCGGGGTCTCTCGGAGCTTCCTGGGGGCCCCTCGAAGCCGAGGGCTCGAAATGTCCGTTCGGGTCCCCCGTCTGGGCCCCCTCTTGGAGCCGTCTTTGAGGCGTCTTGGGCCGTCTTGGCGGCATCTTGGGCAGTCTTGGGACCATCTTGGGCCGTTCGGGTGCCCTCGTGGAGGCCTCTTGGGCCGTCTTGCGGCGATCTTGGGGACCTCTTGGGCCATCTTGGAGCTTCGGGACACGGAGAAGGCAGGAGAGCCAAGATCTTTGAAACACCTAAGAGAAATCAATGATTGTTGCCTCTTGGGGCCCTCTTGGGAGGCCTCTTGGAGGTGTCTTGGGGGCATCTTGGGCCGTCTGGAGGCCATCCCCGGCATCTTGGAACGATCTTTCGGCGATTTCTTGGAGCCTTCTTGGCCCGTTTTGGGGCCCTCTATGCCCCCATGGCGCGTTCATCCGGGGCCCCGGGGGGGGGCGTCAAATTGCCAGTGGGGGGTCGGGATTCTGCAGACCTACAAGGGGTAGGCGGAGTTGTTCTGGTCCTCCTCGTTCTCCTCCTCATCAACATCTTCTTCCAAATAAATATCATGGGCATCGTTTTCGGATGGACTGGTGGGGGGACGCGAGGTGTCAAGAATGTGTCCGCATGAAAAGGTGGAGATGTCCGGGCGCCACGCATTGCAAACAATGGCATGGCGGTGTTGGGAGAGTCGTTGTGGGGCTGGCGCCGCTAATTCCTACGGGCTAGGTTCGGTGGTAATATGTGGGTGCAGGGCACTCCGTCAACCCAGCACCCTCCTCTGTCCTCCTTCCTTCCCCCATCCTTATGCTCTGGCTCCTTCCTCTCTCCTCCTCCTCCTCCCTCCACCTCTTTCTGGTCCTGAATCGTCCTGGTTCCTCCTACCTCCCTCTCGCCTTGAATACTCACCCTCCTCCTCCTCCTCCTCCTCCTCCTCCTCCTCCTTCCTCCTCCTCCTCCCTTCCTCCTAATCCCCCTCCACTTCCGTTATTGGATTGCACACGGCAAGCTTACCGTGTGCATTTCCATCTTCTGCCGATCCTTGTTCGTGCCCGCTCCGAGGGGATGGCGCCGTCGGCGCGCGCCCTCCTGCTGTCCCTCGCCTGCGGCGGGGCGACCGCCCTGACCCTCGTCAAGCCGAGGGTGCGGGCCAGGACGAAGACGCTGGTGGTGACCATGGTCTTCCCCGACGACGAGATCCCGGTGGACCTCATGATGGAGCACCACCTCCGCATGGTCAGCAGCAACGCAAGCATCCTGCAGGGCGCCATCATCGACAACCGCCCGCCGTGGGGGGAGATGAAAAGCAACCATGAGCCCCTGCTGGGACGCTACAGGCGCTCTCAGGACAGCACCGGCGTCGTCAAGGTGAAGAGGGTCGACTACTCCAATCTGTCCACCCTCATCACCCGGTTCTTCAGCTCTGAGGAGATAAATCTGCACGCCAAGACCGTGAATCTCGCGGCAGATATGCCGACCAATGTCTCGAAGCTCGACGAGAAGGCCAACGCCGCGCGCATGCTGGGCATGCTGAATTTCCTGGAGCTCTGCGCGGACGCTGAGAACGACGTGGACCTGTGCATCTACACGGACTCCACGACGTTCGTGCACCGGACGAACGAGACCGGGGTGGTTGAGCAGGCGGTCAAGGTGTTTCAGCAGAACCCTCAGGCAGTGGTGCTGAACCCGCCGGACATGTGCACCTACAAGAAGGCCATGGAGCACGGCGTCTGCAAGGCTGGCAACGTGACCGGTGGCATCAACCACGGCTTCTTCGTGGTCAACCGCGACCGATTCGAGGGCTTCGCGCCCATGCCTGTCGAGTCGGTGGGCCTCGGCAGCGTCTTCGAGGACCTGCTGGCCGAGGGGCTGACCAAGGGCGGCGTCGAGGGCCCGGTGAGGCAGATCCGGTGCGGCGGCGCGTTCGCCATCCACCCGTACGACAGCAGCCTGGGCAAGTACGCCTGCCAGTCCCAGAGGCGGCGCGCACCACAAGCGCTCAAAACTGGCCCCCAGGCCCGCCCCAGGGTCCGGCTTCGCCAGCTCTTCGAGCTGCGTCCGGCCGCGGCGACCAGGGGCGCAGGTAGAGAAAGAATAGAACAGACCATGAATCCGGCGCGGTCCCAATTCGGGAAAGCCTTCCAGTACATGGGCGCATTGCTGGGACTTGATGAGTATTGCCTTGCCTTGCTCGGCGTTGCTTTGTGTTGATTTTGCCGAGGACGGCAGGAAGGAGCCAAGACCAAGGAACCCGAGGAAGGCCGCGGGGAACCGAGACCAGGGAACCTGGGCAACGCTGGGCGCCGCCAACGCAGGGAACCGACAGCGATGAACCCGAGCAGCGCCGAGCGCCGCCAATGCAAGGAGGCGAGACCAAGGGATCAGAGGAGGAAAAGGTATCCATACCTCTACCCTTCGCCTGTTTCCCCTTTTTGGGTCTCCGCGGAGGCCCTCGTCGCCACCGTTGATTCACCATCGAAGTTCTGGTCAGAATGCACCCCAGGAGAGTTGCGGGGAGTAGCGGTATCGGTACCTTCTGACTTCCCCAAGGAACCCGAGCAATGCCGATGGCCGCCTCCGAATTTGGGGCCTCGCACCTGCATGCTCCATTTACCAAACGAGCAGACAAAGCCCCAGTGGGGGGGGGGAAATGAACGGAAAACCAAACAATTGGCCTGACGAAGGACCCAACCGTATGCAGCTGCGAGTACCGCATTGTGGGTACTGCTTTCGGTGGAGCTCCCTGTTGTTGGGCCACGAACCGTGTGAGGGGTGTGCAAAAATGTGTAGCAGTCCCTGCATGCGGCCTGTGCCGCTGGGGCCTTCGTTGGAGCTCCCTGCAGGGCCACGAACCGTGTGAGGGGTGTGCCAAAATGGGTAGCGGTCCCCGCGTGCGGCCTGTGCCTCTGGGGCCTTCGGTGGAGCTCCCTGTGGGGCCACGAACCGTGTGAGGGGTGTGCCAAAATGGGTGGCGGTCCCCGCGTGCGGCCTGTGCCCCTGGGGCCTTCGGTGGAGCTCCTGGCGGTCCGCGCATGGGGCCTGTGCCACTGGGGCCTTCGGTGGAGCTCCCTGCGGGGCCACGAACCGTGTGAAGGGTGTGCCAAAATGGGCGCGGTCCCCGCGTGCGGCCTGTGCCACTGGGGCCTTCGGTGGAGCTCCCTGTGGGGCCACGAACCGCGTGAGGGGTGTGCCAAAATGGGTGGTGGTCCCCGCGTGCGGCCTGTGCCACTGGGGCCCTCGGTGGAGCTCCTTGTGGGGCCACGAACCGTGTGAGGGGTGTGCCAAAATGGGTGCGGTCCCCGGCATGCGGCCTGTGCCACTGGGGCCTCCGGTGGAGCTCCCTGTGGGGCCACGAACAGTGTCAGGGGTATGCCAAAATGGGTGCGGTCCCCGCATGCGGCCTGTGCCACTGGGGCCTTCGGTGGAGTTCCCTGTGGAGCCACGAACCGCGTGAGGGGTGTGCCACAATGGGCGCGGTCTCCGCGTGCGGCCTGTGCCACTGGGGCCTTCGGTGGAGCTCCCTGTGGGGCCACGAACCGCGTGAGGAGTGTGCCACAATGAGCGCGGTCCCCACATGCGGCCTGTGCCACTGTGGCTCCAGTGGAGCTCCCTGTGGGGCCAGGAAACCGTGTGAGGGGTTTGCCGAAATGGGTTCGGTCCCCAGCATGCGGCCTGTGCCACTGTGGCCCTCGGTGGAGCTCCCTGTAGGGCCACGAACTGTGTGAGGGGTGTGCCAAAATGGGTGGGATGATTCTGATGGTGACGATGAGGCGGAGGAGGAGGAGGAAGGGGAGGAGGAGGAGGGAGGAGGAGAAGGTGACGCGGGGCGCTGTCTCTTCAAAACGAGGACCGAACAACACACGATGATTGGGAAAAACAAGCAACAGTTATAATTTCAAACAGAACAGGCAGCTCGGGCTCTCCGCGCACTCGCAGGCCGCGACCAGCCGGGCTAGCTCGGCGCGGGACGCCGGGATCTACTCCGAGGACTACTCGCGCTTCCCTGGGGGCGGCATGCGCGCCAAGGGCCTGGCGTCGCTCATCGAGCGCTTCGAGGTCTCGGGGGACGCCAACCGGACACCCTCACCGATGATAGCCAAGGCCCGTCTAGGGCACGATCGGTGCATGTGCCCTCCTGTCCAAGCCGGGAGGGCGATCCCGGGCCCAAGGATGGGCCCAGATCCGCACGTGCGGGCTAGATTTTTTTTTTGTGGTCGGCTTCCTCCCAAGGCGGGCAAGTTCCCCGAGGCCAAGCCTATGGACAGCCTCACCAACAAGTGCAACAACATGTGCCCGTCGAAGGAGCGCGTCAGGGACGGCCTGGCGTGGTGAGGCCCCGCGCAGTGCGCCGGGCGTGCGAGCGCGCGCGCGCGCTCGGAAGCGGGCGACCGTCGCGGTGGGCCGGTCTGCCGGTCATGGTGCCGCGGTGGGCGCGTTCTAAAGGCCTGCGCCCCAGTACCCTCGAGACTGCACCAGGAGGAGGAGGAGGAGGAGGAGGATCAGAGCGGATTAGACTGGGATCAACGGTCGGCAAACCGCACGGTCGGCAGACCGAGACAATGCAAAGACAGTTTGGCCATCCCCGAGCCAGATTATGCACGGTTGTAGCTGAAATCTTTTCAGCTTGTTGGGAGGAGGAGGAGGAGGAGGAGAAGGGGAGGAGGAGGAGGAGGAGGAGGAGGAGGAGGAGGAGACGGTGGAGGCGGAGGAGGAGGAGAAGGAGGAGGAGGAAAGAGGAGGAGGAGGAGGAGGAGGAGGAGGAGGAGGAGGGACGAGGAAAACTGCCAGGACTGCTGCCATCGCAGAGCGACGCTGGCAATGCCGCCCCTGAGCTCCATGAGGACCGCGATCACACATAATAGCCTTACGACCAAAAGGAAGAGCAGCACCCGCGCATTGAAGGCGAGCGACAAAACAACATGTACCGATCTAAACACATTGCGCAACACCGCCACGCTCAAGTCTCTCAGCCGCACCCTTTGTCATGATCTCGGTTTTACCATAATGCGTCGTCGTCGCCGGCAGGCGAGTCGGTAAGTAATGATGTTCTCATGTTTTCATACCGCGTCTGGCAGCAGCGCACCCCCCCCCCTTCGCACCTCGTGATGCTACACCCGCCTCGTCATGCGCGAATAAAAACGTAAACCACGAGTAAAGGTTGTCGCCCAGCGCCTCAAATAATGGAACACGTAGCACCCCATCCGTGCACAGTGATGTAGAATCAAACGCCGCAGGTCTTCAAAGTTGAGCCTGCCATGCTTGCTGCGAAAGCTTTGGGATACGGGTCAGATCTGTGGCCTTCGCCGCAACTGCAGCAGTAGATCACGCGGGAAGTCAGCAACAGTGAATGCAGGAAATTTCGTCGGCTCGAGCGTGTGTTTGATAGGAGGAGGAGGAGGCGGAGGAGGAGGAGGAGGAGATAGGATGGAGGAGGAGGAGGAGGAGGAGGAGGAGTGAGTGAGTGAGGCAATCGCTAAGCGAGTCAAGATCAAGAACATGGGAAAAGGGGCAGGGGAAGGGGGGCGGCGGTCCTTGGTGTTGAGGTCGTTGAAGGGGGCGGCCGCACGCGCGGGCGCGAGAGAGGCGCCGCGCTCGCCGCTCCTCCTCCTTCTCCTCCTCACCCTGGGGACCCCGCACAACCCTCTGTAGGTCCCTCGCCGACACTCGCATTCCTGAGGCGGGCAGCTTTCTCTGCCTTACTAAGAACCTTAGGCCACTGATGGGCCTGGATTCTTGATAAATATTCTTGACAGTGAGGGGTTGGGACAGAAGGCTTACTGCATATACTGTGCAATTGGCCCTTCATGGTCTGGCCGTAGTGGCCGCAACACATACAGAACCAAAGGTTAAGTCCTGAATGGTAGCGGAGACAATGGCTGTTGTCTACCCACCCCCCAGCCAAGTGCAGACGAGCCCCCTGGGGAAGGGAAAAATATATTCCTCCGAGCGTTACTAATTCAAAACATGGCGATTGTCTCCACGCTACGACACAAGCTTGCGTGGCAGACCCTCGACAGCGCGTGCACCCTCGGCCGTTCTCTGTCAGCTGATGGCCGCTGGTGAAAACTGAAACTTGCAACGGACCAGGAGGTGCAGGGGCCTTGACGGCCTCTTTCTTTTTCACAACATTTCCAAGAGCTCTCTCGTTTTCGATAGCGTCTAAGTTGGCACGAAGCAAGCGATGGCGAACTAAGAAGGCTCGCCTTTCGTGCCGATGGATACGAGCTCTGGTTTGTTCGTCAACGCGCGAACGGGTGGCGGCTATTTCTGCAATAGCGTCAGCTGTGTTATTGCCTACAATCATCCATTCGGGAAAACGTTGATGGAAAACGTCAGCACCAGACAGATGTGAGTTTATAAATAAAACTAAAACCTTCTCTTTACCTCTGAGCTTTACCTCGCGGCCGATTTTAGCCCAGAGGTCCGCCTCTTCTCCTGAAGGCGACTCAAACCGATTCGAATACCAGCCGTCTACCACATTGAAATTATCGGACACGAAAACTATGTACCCAGAACTTACATACAGGGCTAGCCACAGGGCAGTGAGTTCTCCCCTGCCAACAACCTGACGGTGCCCTGAAAGAGGTCCTTCTACAATTGCTAGTGTCCTAAATTCATCGTTTGCGGCTGGTTCGGCAGCTAAAACCAATCCTACTCCAACTCTTCTGAGACGAAGACAGGCCGACTCAGGGCCCCCGCTAGCGTCCCCGAAAAAATGGAGGGGGTGTTCTTGTGAACCCTGTCCGGCTACACCTTTGGCTAATTCGCTAAAAGTTCTTGAGCAGCGCCAGTCGTCAGACATGACAGGCGGGGGGGCCTCAACCCAAGAGCTAGGTAAAAGGCCCCGCAACCAAAAACACTCGGCCGACTCCCATTGGGAGTAAGCCTCGGGCACAAACTCTTCAGATTTTTCGTAGGCCAGGGACCCTCGGTTCTCGGGGCAGGCCCAAACTCTGTGAAACGGGGTCTCACGTGCTTGGCGGCACCGCTGGCAGAGAGGCGAGCAGACTCCTGGCTTCTGCTGTACTCGCCTGTCTCGCGGCCAGGTGCCGCCTGTGGCGACTGCTGTCATTAGCTCTGCCAATCTGTGGCCGTGCGGAACGTCACGAAGTTGTCGAATGAGGCTGATATACGACGACATGTCTACCCCGTGTTCAGCTCCTCCACCGCAGAAGTGAGAGCTTGCTTTTTCCCACAACATTCTGGATCTATCTTCCTGAAACTCACGCACAAGGTCTCTAGATAAATCAACTCCTTTCTGCTCTATAAAGATGCTCTCTGGAAAGTTCCACTCGATGACGTTGCCATCAGGACCTGCAGGGCGATCCCACGACTCAGCGGATGTGGGCGTCCATCCTGTCTCCAACAGGTAGCAGATGACCGCGCCCATGGGCCCACGAATGTGTCTAGGCCTCTGGGCTGGGTCCAGCTGCTGGAACTTGGACACCACCTTTGGCCATGCAAGTCTGATGGCCGCTCTGAGGTGCGACGCCTCATGGGCCCACATACGGAACCATAGCTGAAGGCAGTCACTTGCCATCTTGACGCCTGGATCTCCTGTGGGCCCTTGAAGGGCCAGGAGCGTCGTCAAACATCTACCAGTAGAAGCTGCTGCACTTGCATGGCCCAATCTCCATCTGAAGGCCGTGATCGCATAGCCAAAGGCCCCATGGATTTGATGGGCATAGGCTCCTGCAGCATGTGACCCTTGACGTTCGAGTCGTTTCATGATGTTATACTTCCGCGAAACTTTGGTGAATCTTGCTATCTTTGCACTCATCAATGCCGATTTTGCCAACCTTTGCCGACGAATGGCTCTGGCCATGCGTCTGCCTCCGCCCAGGTCGGTGCCTAAGTAGGCGACTTGAGCTTTAGCTTCAATCGTGAAGCCGGCCTTTCTGACAGCTTTGGCGATGCGCTTGGAGTCGGTCATGTGTGTGCAGAGGACGGCGGATTTGACTGCCACTTGTAGCTTCTGCTCTTTCAACTCCTTACAAGTGTCGACGATCACCTGAGTGAGGGCTCTGCGAATGTGGGCACGAGATCCTTTCGTACTCTGGCTGAGGTCGTCGATCCAAATTCGATGTGAAAACGAGGGATGTGCTGTTGTTATCTTTTTCAGCACTGCAAATACCATCATTCTCGCAAATCTTGTTCCTGATCTAAGTCCTTGGACTATACTCTGAAATGGAACTATGGGTTCTGAATATGCTCCTGATTGGCGCAGCGTCCTGGGAGCAGCACATTGGAGAAGCTCAAGGTACAAGATTGTTGGGGAGAACCCGACTTTGAGCGCTCCTTTGATGAGCAAGTCGAACTGCACTGCGTCATAGAACCCCTTGATGTCCAAGAGGCCATTACCTATATCAACTGAGAGATGTTGAGCTAGCTCTTCGTCAAGTACTCTGAGAAATGCTTCTCGCAAGGCTGCATTGCCTGAGATTGCTGCATCCCAGGGAGCATTGGCATTATCATTCTCCATCCATTCTGCAACTTCTGGTTCACGACACATGGACCACACTCTCGCGAACATGGTGAGTATGCCGATGATGCGGTCGCCGCTGCCACGATGCTTGGGCATCATGTGCCCTATGACCAGCTGGGTCTGGATGGGCCACGCCAGCGCTTCTTCGATGGTCTCGAATAACGAACTCAACTCTGCGAGGGCTGAGTCGGGCAGCCTCTCGATGTCTAAGGGCGAGAGGCGATCAACGCCCTGACCCAACTTGGGCCGCATTTTCTTAGTTGCACGTCGAATGGCTGCGGCGTCCAGGTCGGGGAGCACCTCGTCCTCAGCTGCGATACGTACTTCATCAAATGCAGCGTCGAGGTCACTGAGCTTGGGCTCAGTGGGGGCCCATATGTTGGCCCAATGGGATCTTTTCTCGTCCATGATATCTTTTGGGTTAAAAACGACCCGGCCTGGCAGAAACAACTCTTGCTTGGTCAACGGCTCATCCTTGAGATTCTGATGGAGCTGACCAAGGGCTTGGGGGCTGTCAACCCACTCACGGAAACGCTGCATGGACGCACGCATAGCTTGGTTTTGCGACCTCTTGGCTACCTTGCGCAGGAGGCCGTCGAGCTTGTCCAAGTTGGCGTCCGAGATGGGCTGGAGCGAACGGAGTCCTATCAAGAGCTCCTGCCAGGGAGGCTCATAAGGCCTCAACAAAGATTCAGCATTATCAGGAATATCACCAGTTAGGGCTCTCATGGAGTCCTGCAACTCTTGGCATTGACGTTGTCCATTTTTTCGCAACCGATGTCGGACAAAGGCGGAGAGCAGCGTTGATGCCCGTGTCCACCAATTCGCAACATCATCTTGGAAAGGCTGTGTCCTGGCATGTGCTGCCTGATGGACCTCTCCCACATGGAATCGGTGCCCCTGCGCGCGGCTGGGGCCCGAAGAGGCCTGAGTAGTGTGGTGTTCGCAAATGGCCGCTTCCACTGTGGTGATCCAGGAAGCATACAAGCCAGAAATT